CCAAAATAAATGAATGTGATGTTTTGTGTCAACGTAAAACTTGTCTTACAGTAACACACGTTGATATACCACTTTTAAATCGATTCTATCGATATTGTTGAGGCTTTGTTTTCTAACAGATTTTCAAAATATTGTGTTGAATTATCCCAAAAAGTGACAGATTTGAAATGAAAAAAAATTATATTCTTTTGTTCTTCTGAGTATCCGGTAAAAAGTGCTTGCAGCTAATGACGAACGTATACATACAATACTTACGTTAGCTCTATCCCCGTATTCCAACAGCATATCAACTTTTTACCATAATAAAACATTTTCAACAAAAAATTCTAATCACTGAATCTAAGAAGAAACTCTCCCTTGACTTTTATTTTTTTTAAATACTAATCTGTTTTTTTCTTTCCACTGCATGAGCTTGTCGAGAGTTTCTTCTGCAAGTAATATTTTGTTTTTATAAAAAATTGTTTTTTTTTTTCCTGTGAGCTTATTTTTCAACGCATTTAGAAAATTTTGGCGTCAAAATGTTGCAAAAAAAGTACCGGTTTTAAAAAGTTTTTGTTCCCACTAGGGTGCTATTTGATAAAACTATGTTATCCTAAAAAATTAATAGATCATGACAATAAATATTATTTGCCTCTGAACAAGTAAAGAAACGTTCCATTTACAATTTATCAAATGATCAGGTGACCCGGTAAATAGTATTTATGATGGTCACAGTCTCCTAGACAAAATTTTCGAAAATTAAATAAAAATTTAAAAAAACAAAAAAAAGAGAAAAACCGTCCTATCCTACGTATCCTGAATCCAAAAATTCGAGGGTTGCTGTGGTTTCCGCTTAAACCGGAAGTGCAACCATTGGCTACACATTGGCAAAAAATTGGACATTCAGTCCATATTAACCCTTTCAAATTTCAAATCGCTATCTCAAGCCGGTATATAGCCTTGTCAACGAATACTTAGTTTAGCCTTACAAAAATTAGCTATAAAATATTACCAACGCTAGCGACACTGAATTTTGAAGTAAACAAAAAAACATAACATAAAATATTAATAATGCTATTTGAACACTTATTTAGCCCCATTATTTTGCAATAACTCAAGTTGATGGTAACAAAAATGTACCACATGTATTTAAAGAGTTTGTTCTGTTCGATAAATGTATATTTTTTCAACATCGCTAATTTGTACTTTCCCATTATTCCACACATATAATAATAAACTACCATAACGTATTGTAATTATTTGTTTGGCGTCACATAGTTATTAAAAAATGTAATTGTTCAACCTGAACACTTTGAAAAAGTGCGTTTTTTTTGTGTCAATTGATCGATCAATTGAGCTGTCAATTATTTATTTGTTTCTTAATTTATTTATTAGTCATTTTACGGACACAGTCCATTTCTACATAAAAACTTACTAAAAATTCACAATTAAATTACAGGTTGATACAAAAGTAAAAACTAAAAGTAAAAGCCTATGTTACAATCTCACAAGTTATGTTATGTTATGTTATGCTTGCTTGAATCTGATTCCTAAACCTACCTTTAGTGGCTAGCCAGCTGGGCCGCCCTTGCAATGGATGTTATTACGTCCATAGTTGGTTATGTGGTACGGTACTAAAAATGTGCTATTCAGAAGAGTTATTCGTATTGGTGCAAAAAACTCAATTTTTGACAGAATGGCGGGACATAAAGAACTGGAATTAATAAATTCCATATATTACATATATAGTTATTAATTGTTTTATGTTAAAAATATTTATAAAACTTTTAATATGTAATATATTAATATATATATATATATATATATATATATATATATATATATATATATATATATATATATATATATATATATATATATATATATATATATATATATTAATGTATTACATATTAAAAGTTTTATCAATATTTTTTACATAAAACAATTAAATATTTTGAAATATAAAATTCTGACTAAAACAAGGACTAAAGTGAAAAAAAATATTTAAAATTCTTATTTTATTCGAACTACGGGAAAGAATTATATATAGCAAAAAAATCGGAAATTACATTTTTCAAAATCTAGTGTTTCTAAATTGGTAAGATTTTCATGACTAGTTTACTAATTTTTGAAGGTTCTGACAACATTTTGTTGTACATTCTTTACACTATAAAAACTATAGCAACCGATTTTCACGAGATTTATAAAAAAGACAAAAAATATCGGATAATTTGCATATGTATACGTAAAAAAATGTCTTCTGCCGTATGATGGGCATCGAATCTTAGAAGGCTATCGATTCCATTTAACTGCGTGACATTTTTAGTGGACGAGTAGCAACGTAAAAACGTTTACACATAAATTTATGAGTTAAGATGTCACGGTTATCGAACGCAAGGTTAATCGTTCTGCGTGTGACGTTCACCTTAAGGACGCGCTTCTTTGAGCCTAAGAGCGTTTTAATTACAGTCGTTTCTACTTGCGGCGCGTTAATTGAAGAGGAATTGTTCGGTATGACGCTAATATGGGATCGCGGTGTAGTGCCATTGCCACGGTAATTGAAAAATTAGAAGGTCGCTTTGGAATACAGGGTGATTCGCATCGAGCGTTTTATTCAAATTCCTGGGGAACTATTGAATTTTGCTTTCTAAGTACTTTGTGTTAGCATCCATTTTTTTCCAAAATTTAATTATAATGATTCACATTAAATCTATTTATTTTTAAATTTAGATCAAATACCCTATAACTAGATAACTTTTGTTATCATCTACCTAAACCAATATTGGTTGATTTTTGACAAAGAAAAAAAAGGATAAAAAATCACTACTTTTGAAAATTGAATCAAAATTAATCGAAAATGAGAATTTTTACAGAAATTTAATAATGATGGAAACTTTTTAGAAAATCTGTACTGAATTATATTTCGGAAAATATGGATCAGACCTACAATATTTTCATTCACTCTCACACAGTTCTTCAAATACTATTCTACTCCCGTCTGTAAAATACCTAATTACACACCGATCTGGCGTGCGGGAAGCGTTACTTTAACACGTCAGTTTCGTTTCCCACGGATCCAAGCCACATCGTACATTTCCGGGATTTTAACGCACGGGTTTGGGAGCAATCGGATGTTTTCGGAGATATTTCCCACGCTTTGAATTTTGACGTCAATTCTGACGGGCATGTCGGTGAATGTATTCCTGTTGTTTTGCGATAATGTATGCAACACTTTCGTTAAACGCGTTTATTATTAAACACTTGCTCCGCTGCGCTCCGCTCGTGCCCAATAAACTCGTGAGTTAAATGCAGTTTACCGCACTTGTTGTATAATATACTAGTTTCTACTCCCTTCTTTGAAGTACCCAACGATACACCAACATAGCGTGTGGTGTAATTGAATTTTGACTTTTGTCAATTCTGACGGTGATATCAGTGAATGTATTCGGGTTGTTTTACAAAAATGTACCCAAAAATAACGGTCGTAGAAAAAGTATAATATGCAACACGTTCGGTAAACTTTCAAAATAGCTCATTTAATTAACACTCACTCCGCTGCGCTCTGCTCGTGCCAAATAAACTAGTGTTCAAATGCGGTTTACCACACTTGTTGCATAATATACTTTTTAGTGCAGAAAATTTCAAACCGCATCGAATGTTTTTCCACAACTTAGAGAAGTCAAGACAACGTGCTCACTGCTGGGCAAAGATTGACCATAAAGCGAAGCCAAAAAAATACAATAGAATAAAAACTGGAGAAATGCAGGATCCTTTTTCTAGCTGTTTGCATATTGTATTGCATCCTTTGAAAGTTTGGCGCAAATGCTTTGAAACCAGTGACTTTCATGTTTTCCTTTAAACACAACAACACAAAGAAGGTTTTGGTTATTTTCATTGAGTGACTATCTCATCAATGAAAAGAAAGTTCTCTAGATCAGAAAGTACCTCTGTAAAAACGCACAAAAGGAGGGTTCTTCATTTACAAAAGTTCTAGTGATAACTTAAACTTGAAAAATTTTTAAAGAATTAAAGCGCAATAAAAATTAGAAAAGTTCAGGATGAACTGTACTGAAGTGAAAAAAAATTGTTCATAAATGCACCAAATTTTTTTGATATTTCCTTTTCTAAAAGAAGTAAGCAACTCTAAAGAAAATGGATTTTCAAAAACCACATAGAAAAAATGATTAGCGAATGTAACAAATTTAAAAAAAGGAGCACAAAGCAATTCTTAAATCCCAAAACTGCAATATCTTTCTATATTGCGCTTTTCTATTCAAATGTGAAGTCTAATAGTGACAGATATGATATATTAAATTTTAGTTACATTTTATTCCATTTTTGTATATTTGTACTGTTTGCAACTCTAATTTTGAGGGTGTTGACTTGATTTACTTTTTCAATTTTATTTATTATTGTTAGTTAAGTATTATTTCGTAGCAGTAGCAAAACGTTTTTTTTCAGATGTATTTTATATTTATTTATTGATTAAATCCCCTTCTGCATTTTTTTAATTTCTAGTCAATTTTTTCCATTGTACAAAGTAATAGCATTACCTGCGAAACGAATAATGTTATTATTTAATTACCAACAATGAACTTTCAGTTTTATTTAAACTCACCATCTGAAATTTAGAATAGTTAGAGCAATTAATAATAAAGTTCACAAAGGCCGGCGCGCACAGATAATTTTGGAAAATTTAGGTAAACCCGAGTCAATCATCGAGGGACTCGACTTCATTATCCCGCGTCGTCTGAAACTCCCCCGGCGAAAATTAATTTGCCGAAATCCCCCAGCAACAATTACCCCTTTTAACGCTATAAACTCCCAAAAGAGTCCTGCAAAATACAACTCTCCGGAACAATCAGCCACCGGGTTAGTCATCAGTTTCAATCCAATAAGATCTAACGAATCCTGATAATTGAATCCTGCAACGTATCGGGCCCGCAGGACAATCAGGTAAGTCCGGCGATCGTTCACGAGCGGCATTCGTTCGCGATATCCGACCGTTTTGTTGTTGTCGGCGGTGCGAAGGCGTTTGGACGGCGCGAATCAGTCGTCGTCAAAGCGTCTTGCAGAAGGACGCCCGAGACGCTTTCAGTAGCGATTCCTGCGGCGTCGTTATCGCGCTCTCTTGTCGATCGCGTTTTGTTTGTAATAAGAGTCGTCTTGGAAACTTTTTGACCGGAGAACCGATTTGCATTTTGCCGCAATCGAACGGCAGTGTGGGTTCGGTTGGTTTGGGGGTTAGTGGCGAGTTCTTGGACGACTCGGATTGGGTTTTCCAACATTCAAGGTAGGAACCCTTTTTCTGTCACAAGTTCCATGTGACGTCGATGAACACGGAACCGCAACAACTTTCTTTCTAGGGCGACCTTGGTTTAACGTAACTCTTTTTTTCAACAATTGTAATAATAAAAACTAAATAAATAAGTTTTTAATTTCAATTCGCTTTTATAAAAATAAAAAAAACACGTCCTTGACAGCTTTCTTAAAGTTTTTGATTATGTTGATATATTTCGGAGAATTTGTTAGATGATTATATATTAATTATAATAAGGTTCTTTCTCCGTTATCGAAAGTCTGTAATGATATGTGTTGTTGTCAATTTAAATTAAATTAAATTAAATATTCTGGATTTCAATATTATTATTATATGTTATGGTCCTCTTTTGTATAATAAAAACTATCCCACAATATTCTGCCATAACGTATAACAGATTCAAAATTAGCACAACAGACAACAATATCTCAATTCCTAAGAAGTTTACAATTTCCTAAACTTAGCATTTGTTTTATTTAATCCTATGAGGGCGAGTTGACTTTGTTTCGTTCCATATAAAATAATTTTCTATTACTTTGTTTTGCCCAAACTACCAATTTATATCATCAATTGCAAGCTGCCAATGCAGCCGATCGATGCAGGTCGATAGTTGTTTAAATTGTACAGATTTCCTTTTTATGCACTAATATAATTAGAGCCAATTTGAGAAGACAGAAAAAAACAGACGGAAAAGACAGCGTGCTTCATGAAATAGTTTACTAAATATCACAAAACTTGTGGTACTTTTGTCATTCAAGTCGTTTTGTATGAGAGCAGCTATCAAGTGCTTATGAAAGTCGTTTTCTGTTATTTGTTTTTAACATAATTAGCAATGCATTAAGCTTCTGTTTAATAATATTTGGTTTTCAAGATGTAGGATGCTTCTTTTTTTCGTTGCTGTTAGTTATAGTAGGAGGAAAGTATTTATTGAAAATATTTAATACTCTTTTATAAAAGTGTTTCAAAGATCATTTTTTTGCCAAATGATCTGAGATATGAGCCTGTATTACAACAGATTGTTCATTAATATATGAATTTGTGAAAATATTATGTGGACAACTACTCCAATTTTCATATATTTGAATATATGTTTCATATATTTCAAAATTCCATAGGATAAATGAAGCAGGTAACATTTTCGTAAGGTTGACAAGGCACAAAATCCGTTTTAATGTAAGAAAAAATTAATCAATGGCCAAGTAGACTAAGGATTAAGCTTAGAGCTAAAGTTATAGTGAGTTTATTATTTTGACATATTGGATACTGCTTGGTTCGTCTTGAAGTTGGTTGGTTTGTATAACACTCTAAACCATTACTTAAGAGACCAAAATTTTGGAGGCACTAGTATACTTTTACTATTAAATATTGAATGACATTAAGCTCCACACGATTCACGTAGCTGCTACTGTTATTTGTCGATGTGTCTTTCATTATTCTTAGGTTTGATTTTCTATAAATTGTAACGTCATAATGATATTGCTATAACTTTTGAGGTTGAAGTTTGTCGCTAGCTAAGCTCATGATTATAACTAAAACAGGTAATATTTTTAAAAAGTTTGGTTAGCGAGGTTCAAATATTCTTTTTGGAAAATATTAGGCGTTGTTCAGGTATTGATTGCAGAATTACATCTGCAACTTGATTCAAGCAAAAATTATACTCATCACTTTATTATTCATCAAATCTCTGATACTGGAAGAAATTAGTATTTCGACAGGAATAAAGCTTCTAAATTTGGAAATTTGTTAGAAGTATTGTATAAATTGCTTTCCCTCGATATACTTCTTCATATTAAGAAATTATGGGACGCGACTAGTTTCGGGAGATTCCCAGAAAATGGTTGTATGTATCGCAAATCATTATCTTTTAATTATAATGTTCTTAACACTTCTGCGTTTTTTGCTTGAATTCGTATTTATTTGGGGATGTAGTAGCGCATTGAAACAAGATTAAGTACGCCACAAATGTAAAAAATAACAATAAAAAAATAAAAATTTGTCGCAAAATTTAAAAAGACGGCGGTTATTACTCAGACATATATCATGAGATTAGAAAAATTTTGGTACACACTTTCAGAGGGAGGGGAAAAAGTGGCAATGAAAATGTGCAATTTATTTTAACACTCGGCTTCAAAGAGAGCCAGGAAAGAAATTTATCTCGTGGGAGCAGACCAGAAGAAAAACAGCACTTTAGAATTTTGTTGTATACATCGCATTGATTTTTCGCTAGGTCGATGCTTGTTGTGGAAGATATAGAAAACAGTTTCCCGCAAATTAAATACGTTTGCAAGTTTAGGTACGCCCCATTGTAATTTGAGATTTTATCTTATAATTAATATCTTTTTTAGTTATTTACAGTTCAGGAAATAATTGCAGTGCAGTTCTCTATTTATGAAGTACTTATGCCACAGACACAATTTTTATTTTATTTAGAATTTTTCTTCCGTCCTTGTTTTTCCGTGACAACACTTCAACGCACTATAGTTCACTACGTCAAAAGTGAACCGAAGTAACCGACAGTTTTTACGCGATATCGCGATCAGGTTTATAACTCGATACGTATATCTTTGGTTAATTTAATAAACAGACGTATGAATATTAATAACAAACTGGTTTTTGTCGCGAGGTATGTAGCTGCGTTGGTTCTTTGTCTTACTGTTATCGTTGACAAGTACCTAACTAGGAAACTTATCGGAAACCTATACTTTTTGCGTCGTTATCATAAGATGTTCGACCGCGCACGACAAACAAAACTGCTGATTTCTCGAGAGTGAAGTTTCATGGACATGTGCAAAGTCAAGATTGCAAGAACGCTACTCGCTACTCTATATTCGCGCGAATAGGCGTGTTTACTTGTAGGAAGTGTGTTTGTCTTTTGTCAGGCCTTGCAGTTCACAATTTTTTCAGTATAATATATGAAAAATTCGTTGGTATTGTTTAGAAGACAATGATTAAAAAATGCACTTTCGTTACATCTAGGAGTAGTTAAAAAAATTGAAACAGTTTATATTGAATTTTATTAAAAAGAAGTTTTAAATTAAATTAAATTTAACTTTTTATTAATGTAGGTAACCATACTTGAATATACAGTATCGTAAAAAAACGTTCGGGGCTTTAATTTCTTTCAAGAATTCTTCATTGAATGTGTAGGGAAATTCAAAATTCAGTAACGAAATTTAGACTTTAAAGGTCTTGTCGTTTTTGGGGTATTACCATCAAAATAAAAGAATAGGTTACGTTTCTTAGTTTCCAACGTGATAGGGAACAGGGCAATATTTTCAATATTTCTGCTTTTTCGTTCTGACTTTTTTTGCTGTGCGCCGCTGGTATGTTCCAACATACAAAAAGGAAATTCGGTTTTGTTAAAAAAATATTTTATTCTCTGGAAATTGTAATTATTTTTTAAGGAAATATATTATAATAGTACATTTTGCAATTGTGTTGTAATTTGTTTAACATTAAAATAGAAAATCTTTAATTTTTAACACCCTGTTTGCGGCACATGTTTATAAGAAAAAGAAGTTTCGTTAGAAGATTTTAATACTGAATTTTAAAACACTTTACACCACCGAACCGAAAAGTCAAGGTTTTCGACAACAATTGAAAAATTGAACAAATGACCAGAAATAAAACAAAACAATTTTTACACATCCTTGTACATTTATTAATATTTTTATTATTTTATTAACACATGCGAGAGACATACTACTATTTTGAGAGATAGAGCAAATATAAAACTAAGTTTTGCTTTTTATTTTTTGGATTTTTTTTGCCATTAGTTTATCTAATATATTTTTATATCTATATATTTGGATTATGTTATTATATTGTAATATATTTATTAAACAATATTTACTAGTAACCCATAATGTCTTGTTTTAACAAAAGAAAAATTTGGGTAGAGACCAAGCATTAAAAACAGCAGTAACAATTCAGCAGTAAGCAAATATGTCGGCCCTCTTAGTTTCGTTAATTATATTTGTGAAATTTGGATACTAAACTAAAACACCAAACTTCAACCTTAGTAGTAAGTTTTGGCAAATATATTTGGCGATTTTACAACTCAATGATACCTCTGGTGGAAAAAAATATTACTATAGTTTGGAAGTAAAATTGGGAATTGTTGCATTGTTTTCTTACGACGTTCAGGATTGCTTTGCTTTTTTTATGTTGATATTATTTTAAAAAACAATTAGTTTGATATGTTCGGGATTCAGTGTCTCTATGGATTCACCCGAAATCCAAATACAAAACAAATTGGTCTGTTGATGGATGCTACTCAAGAATTTTAAAGAACGATTAGGTTTTAATTTTTATTCTTGGGTCATGTTCCACAAAAAGTGGTTGGCCGACGAGTTGTGTTTCTTTACATTTAGCATAAATGTAAAGAAACACAATAAATGCGACCAGTTTAGTTGCAATATACGGGGTGATTCAAAAATCAGTAAGAGAAAAGAGGATATTTTATATACTTGTTACCCTTAAGCGAAACTAATGAATAAAAAATTGTCTAGCGAATACGGGAGCAAATAGTTCTGTCATTCATTCATTCTCGGCGATGCGTTTGTTACAGTCTGCTGCGCCGTAACACCGACACTTATTAATCAATAGCTACCACAACGTCGAAAGCGAAAATGTAATATAGCGCACAATATACCGTTAGATTGTATTTAAATCCAAATCTGTCAGCTACACTTCCAACAAAAACGAGAAATCCGGAATTCGCGAGGCTAGTGCTCCGACACAAAATATTTAAATGGACTCACACACCCATTAAGTCATATTAAAGAAGTAAGTGTTGCTAACCTTCGAGATCGAGTCGTGGTAGGCACAAGACACTTTGCAACGATCCGATAGAAAATAAATAAAGAACAAGTTGATAAATACCAAGCGGAGTGTAAGCGGAATTTCATGGTCGATTCGATTTGCCAAAGGTTTCGTGAGTTCGTCTTCAATTTGATACCGAAATACATTTC